GGTCTGGAGCAAAAGCCTAAAAGAAAAGTACAAATTTGTTCCATATTCAGAAAGGAAATTGCACAGTTCGAGTGTGCAAAAAGTACTTTTTGTCTACTTTTGCTGTAAGCGATGGTAGAGTGACTAGAGCTCTTATTCGCCGGGGACATAAATGCGAAGTCTAGACAATGGGGCTCCCCCATAAACGACAAAAAGGGGGAACTCTGGAATGAATGGATAGCCCAGGCTGGCCTCCAAGTTCTAAACAACAATAAGCCAACCTTCGTACGAGGGGCCAGTCAATCACACATTGACATCACATTCGCGAGCGAAGGGCTATCCAGGAAGGTGTACGGGTGGGATGTACTCGACGATCAGCTCTTTACCTACCACCGATATATACAATTTGAGGTAAAGGTTAAATGGCAATAAAGATAGTAGCAACTGAGAAACCAGGTTTGATCAGAAGAATATTTAATGATCTACTGCAGAAACAAGAGTTTCCCAGGGATTTGAAGGAGGCAAACTTGGTTCTACTTTTAAAACCCGGGAAACCCCCTGATTCACCGACCTCTTATCGGCCAATATGCCTTCTGGACTGCCTTGGTAAGTTCTATGAAAGACTTATCAAGAAGAGACTGGAAGGTATGTTGGAAGATGAGAGAGTCTTATCCAACCAACAATACGGATTTAGGAAAGGCAGATCGACAATCGACGCCGCGACCTGGATAAGGAACGCGGCCAAATCAAGCAAGAAAAGATGGGTGGTTCTTGTTCTGTTGGACATAAAAAATGCCTTTAATTCAGCAAACTGGGGCCTCATAGTAGACCGAATAGTCGAAAGCGGGGCTCCGGAATATATGTCCAATATAATAAAGGACTACCTTTCTGAACGATCCGTATGCATATCCAAGAAGAAAAAGAAAAAAATGACCGCGGGAGTACCCCAGGGGTCAGTCCTGGGACCCTTACTCTGGAACATGTTATACAATGGGGTACTAGAAATTCACAAGCAGAGACAAGGAGTCAAAGCGATAGCATACGCAGACGATCTAGCCCTACTGGTTGAGGATGATATGAATTGGGGCATAACAGAAAAGGTAAATAAAGCAATAAACACGACCGCGGCGTAGATCGAGAAAAACGACTTAAAATTAGCAGTAGACAAGACAGAGATAATAATTCTAAGAGGACCAAGGAAAAGGGAGGACTTAGTGTTCAAATGTCAAGGCTCCGAAATAAGACCCCAAAGGACAGTGAAGTATCTCGGTATTACTTTCGATGACCGACTTACCTTTGGGCAGCACATACAAGAAGCATGTCGAAAGGCGGAAGGGAGGACCTCAGCATTGAACAAATTAATGCCAAACGTAGGGGGGCCTGGATCTCAGAAGAGATCAGTTATGTTACAATCAATATTATCGATCATTTTATACGGGGCCCCCGTGTGGCATGAGGTCCTCCAGATGAAGAAATATAAGGACATGCTCTCTAGGGCTCAAAGGAAACCTCTGATCAGGGTGTGCAGCGCGTACAGAACTGTATCTACCATTGCCTTACAGGTGGTGGCTGGTTCTGTACCCGTGCACATCCTGGCCAGGGAGAGAGCTCGAATGTATCCGAGGGGCAACGGGGCGGTTGGTTCAGGGCCACAAGAAAGAGACAGAAGCTTGGAGATGTGGCAGAGGGAATGGGCAGCCGAAGTCGAAAAGGCGGCCTGGACGAGGTCCCTGGTCCCGGATGTAGTGAGGTGGTATAGGTGTCAACATCGGCGCGTCAACTACTACTTCACGCAGTTTATGACGGGACACGGATCGTTTCGGAAATACACCCATAGAATTGGAAAATCCGGAGACGATCTGTGTCCTGAGTGTGGAGTGGTGGATGATGCGCGGCATGTTGTGTTCGACTGCCCTGCATACCACATAGGGCGAAACGAACTGCAACGGAGCCTGGGATTTCCACTAGGCGAGCCTCACGAGCTGATCGATAAAGCCATCGACAGCAAGCACGATTTCGAACTGATCATTGCTTTTGTCACAAAAACCATAAAGCACAAGGAAGAGAAAGAGAGGCGGCTGCAGGTGGACTGACCGCTATATTTATTTATCGTTGTATTTATTTTATTGTATTTTATTTATTCAAGTTACTTTCGTTTTTTACTATAATTTTATCAATACCAATTTTAGCTATTTTTATTTTTATTTTACCTACACTACTTTTAACTTATTTCCTTTTATCTATTTTATTTACTAATTTATTTATTTTATTTAATGGTAAGGGCCGTGGGACATGGGACGGGAAAAGACTCTTTACATCTAATCCCGTCGGATGTCCAGATACCCCAAAAATTAGTGAATGAAGGTATGAATGCGGAACTGAATTGATGGAAGTACGAATGAATGGTGTTACTGTTAATTGCCAACTGGTTCTACTCGTTAGTTCCAATGTGGAAGGGGGGGCAACCAGGCTGTCTCGCCGGCATAATGATTGAGCAGGACGGTAGCTTCACCAGCCAGTCTCGCCCGAGCCTTATGCGGGTGAGGGAGGCCGGGAGGCCGTCAAATCCATGTAATGCACGCGAAAAGTGCCAGAGGGAAGTTAAGAGTAAGGCTGACGGGCCAGATATGCTTGCTAAGAGCGGTTCCGGGCCCGTTGGTCGGAGGAAGAGGGGGTGGTTTAGTCGGTAGGCGGTCCCGTCACGCGGTGAAGCGTGAGAGATTGAATCCGACACACCTGGGTAAAGGGCTGACACCCGATCCCAGACGGTCTTTTGAAGATTCCACCTCCCAAAAAAAAAAAGGAGCTCTCATTAAAATAAGAGATGGACGAACCCCTGGAGAAGACTTACGAGGTAAACATGTTGCTGCATAGAAGTTAACACCTTTGCAGGCACAATCAGTTATAGACCACATTAATCGTTTCCCATCTTATCAAAGCCACTATACAAGGAACGATAATCCCAATAGAAGACACTTTAGCCCAGATCTTAATATTGTAAAGATATATGATCTTTATATACAGTGGTGTGTGGAAACTGAAATCGATCCTGTGAAAGAGTATTCCGACCGATCTACTTTCAACTTAAAATTTAATTTACAGTTTCACTTGCCTAGAAAAGATACATGTAAACACTGAGATATGTACAAGCACATGGTAGATATTATGGAGCAAAATCCAGAAACAAGAGCAGAGCTGGAAATAGAACATAAGCTCCACTTGGCAAGAGCTGAAAAAGCACGTGCTACTTTGAAGACAGATAGCACATTGGCAAAAGAAAATGAAGATTTATGCACCTTAACTATTGATTTGCAGAAAGTCCTCGTTTCCAAAACTAACAGTGTCTGAGGCGTACTACCGGAGAAACATGTACTGTTACAACCTGGGGGTACATGCTATGGGGAAGACGCCATTGATCTGAAGTTCATGGTGTCAGGACCTTCGTATCTACCTAATGATGAGGACTTTGGTCACATAGAACAAGCATTACGAAATCAAACTATCTTCACCCGGATGACTGGTACAAAATAATAACAACCGCATGGAAAACAAATAATGGCAGATGACGATTTCCTGAGTGTTGAAAACTTGACAAAAGCAGTAACGAGACCACAGAAAAATATAGACGTTGACAAAGTCAACTGGTTGAAAATACAGTGGCTTTGTTTCCAAGAGGACAAGGAATATTCTATCCTGTACAAGAACACACTGAAAGACTTTATGCCATTTGAAGAGCTTGATGTAAAACCTGCCAAACATGGTCAACCTCGTAGCCTTGCTTTTTTTGAACAAGATAAACTTTACAATGGTCCCCAAACTATGTCCTTTCTTAAGAAAAAAGACATGTTGTATTTGTTAAAATACATTGCCTCTGTGAATCATGCTTTTTTAGAAACATAAGGAGTAATCAGAATGAAGAAGACATATTTCCATTTCTTGATGCGATCTCATAAAATAAATTTAAACCTTAGTTATATACTAGTAATAACATTTTATGTATGTTTTATTAAAAATAATATTTTAAAAATAATATTTTTACTTTAATACCCATAACTCATTATGGTGTAAGTCACTTTTTGGTACGCATTGTGGTGTAAGTCTCTACTGTCATAATAAAATACAAACATTGCAAAACAATTATGTTACTTAGTTGAACAAGTAAATTTAGTATATTGACTAGTAAAAACTTTTAATTCAGTTTCTCTGAATGGTTCACTGATTTTTCTAGAGTGTCATAGGTAAAACCTTCGTAATTGGAAAAGTAGTTAATTTGACTTACTCATTTTCGACAATTAATTCCAAATAACCACTGAATCATTTTTCATAACTTTAAAATACACTTTGAAAAATGTATTTTCTTTGTTCGATAATGCAATTTTTATTTTCATCATCACTTTAGTTCACAAAATTTCCTGACGCCCTTAGAAATCGGATAAAATAAATTTCATCGAGATCCATCAAACTGCAAAAAATTGGTAGATTTATTGCTTCATTGCCATAGCTACGGGTAAAGAGTAGTAAGTCGTTTCGTATTTGCGCGTAAAATAGATATTTTAGAAGGCTTAATGCAGACAGATAAAACGTCACAGGGGCAATAAGCTCAACAACCAAAATGTCAGGGACTAAAGTTTAGGTAATGGCAGCTAATTATGGGCATACCAGACACCAACAAAATAGCCGTTTATACTGAAACGCCACAAAGAGCGATCTTTAGAAACATTATGTTAATTAAATTGTCTATTCTACTTACATACTTAATAGATCCCAATTTGGTTCTTCGATATAAATATATATAAATAGAAAAGTATTAAAAAATAAATATAAATATTATACAAGTACAAATAAAACTACAAATCACCTATTTAAATTAAAAATAATTCATTAATTACAACAAAGACTTAGATTGTGAAAATTGAGCTGATTACAAGGAGAATTTTTTAAACATCTTTGTGGACGTCTTCTATAGGAATCGAACATACAGTTAAATCAAAAATGTGAACATTTCTAGTTCCACAAAGAGTCACAGGGATAAATCAGATTAAATGATAATTTACAAAAAATATTTATGTGTATCTAATAGGTATAACTCCTTGTACAAATTATTAAAAATCTAAAATCTACAAATTATCAGTCTTTATCATTGGTTTTGTTTTTATTGTCGTTCTTATACGCTGAAAAGAATGTTAGTGCTTTCATCAACTGATAGCTTTTTGATATGGGAATATTGGAATCGTACAGTTTCTTGGAATTCTTGCAATCTACGTAAAACCACCAATTACACTTAAGAATTGTTTGGTCAAACAAGGTTGATTCCGGACATAGAAAACTCTTCATGATCAATCCGTCATCGGTTAGAGCACAAACGTGGAACACCTAAAACAACAATTTGCATTGTCAATATAAAGTAAATATGAGTATCTAGTATGTTTTAATTAAATATAATTCTGTCGTGTTAAGAATAGAAGTAGTATCTGCAATTTTGAGTTATTTTTAGGTTATAACGCCAACACATTGATAGCCAAATAATCTACCTATATGTTAAGAATGAAAGTCCTATCTGCTGTTTAAAAATAAGTTATTCCACGTTAAAATTTTGTCGGATCTGCATTTTTACAGTTTATGTTAAGCCAATTTGTCGAATCTCCATTTGTTAACATTTTTAGTTGTAATTTCACAAGACGATTTGTAGTTACGACAAATTTGCTTAACAATTGTGTAGTTTTGACAAAAAATATTCTAACAACAGGAAGATCTACCTAATCATTCATAGTGTTCCCGCCTTTTTAGTTTCTTAACCTAAAAAATTCAATTCTAAAAGCATTAGAATATGTTCATCAAGAAGAGGATCAGAATGTTATGTGAAAAGCACACGCAGGAATAACATAAACAATGAAATTGCAGATCAAATTGCCAAAGAAAGCATGGTAATGGGGGAACAAATAAATTACGAATTAACCACAGATGAACAAATAATCATAGCAAAACAGAGAATGATGAAGAAATGGTCCTATTTATGGCAAGAGTACAGCTTTACAAATCCAACACGTTACACCAGACTTGAAACCAAATTAAGGAGAAAACCTTGGATGAGTACGATTACAGTCGAAAAAGTATAACTACTATCAGCAGAATGAAGTTTGGTCACGCATGTTATCCAGCACATTTATTTAAAATAAAAATCGGTGACCTGAACCACATATTTTTTGATTGTTTAAAATATAGAGCTTAATCTAATGAGCTTTTCAAAAAACTTTTAAAATTAAACATTGAAAGCCCATATAATATACTGCATCTCCTTGCTTTAGACAGAAAAGAAATTTACGATTGTTTGCTGTCTTTCGTCAGAACAACGAATATACAAATAAAACCACCTTTGTTGATACCTGATGTCTTTCCTTAATGTATGTATACCTATCTGTCCGAGGCCTACCTTTTATCGTTTAAAAAAAAACGCCCTCATCGGCCCCTGTTATATATGAGTCCGGCAGCGGAATAAGAGACACTGTGGAAAAGACTAGGGGTCGATAGTGAGGTTAGGTGATGGAACGCCGTGGGTCTACGGAGCCATCCATAATGTATGTTTGTAACCACTGTATCTTTTAATAAATAGTTTTGTACAATAGTCGGTGCCTCATTAAATACATAACATATTTGGCGACGAGTCACAGAAAGAGTCCACGCAAAAGTCGAAAAATGTCGTTAATTGGATACATTGAGCAGTTCAATCCTGCGAAAAGTGATATTACCTCTTATATAGAGAGACTTGAGCAGTTGTTTATATGTAATGTAGTGGAAAAAGACAAGGAAGTTCCATTATTGATTTCTTTAATTGGCGGAGAGACTTACAGTGACTTATACGACTTATTAGCACCAGAGGTACCAAGTTCAAAAACATTTGAGGAGTTAAAAAGAGTTCTGATTGAACATTATAGTCCAAAGCGGTTAGTTATCGCTAAAAGGTATAAATTTTACAATACAAATCAAGAGCCTCAGGAGGATATTAGAAGTTTTGTGTCAAAACTGAAAAGTGTTGCTCAATATTGTAAATTTGGGCAATTTTTGAAAGAATGTCTCAGAGACCGGTTTGTATGTGGTGTACGATCAGTCCAAATAAGACGTAAACTCCTGGCAGATGACAACATTTACTTTGAAAGAGCTTATGAGATAGCCTTGTCAATAGAACTTACAGAAGGTCAAGTTAGAAGGATGGAACAGGAAAATGTAGCGGCAATAGAAGGGAAGTTAGATAAAGTAATGTTCAGAAAGAGGGAAGCTACAGTGAAGAAAGATGATGGCCATCAAACTGGTAGAAGTAATGTCCAACCTAAGTCATGCTTTAGATATAGTAGAAAACATGACTCATCAAAATGTCCAGCCAAAGCATGGCAATGTTTCAGTTGTAAAAAAGTGGGACATATAAGTGCAGTATGTCGTTCGAAAGTCAGTTACAGTAACTGGGCTAGTCCCATAGTAGTAGTTCCAAAAAAATTGTCTGAGGAACTAAGAATTTGTGTAGATTTAAAAAAAATATTAAATAAAGTCTTAGATAGTGATCATTGCGCATTACCATTACCAGAAAATATCTTCGCATGTCTAAGCAGACATAAATACTTTACGGTTTTAGATTTAAAAGGTGCTTATCGACAGCTAAAGGTCAGTAAAAATACACAAAAAATGTTAGAAATAAACACCCATATAGGTTTGTTTGCCTTCACTAGACTAACTTATGGTATCAGCTCTGCACCAGGTATTTTTCAGTCGATGATGGATAGTATTTTGGCAGGGTTACAAAATACTAAATGTTACTTAGATGATATTCTAGTATATGGTGAGTCACTTATAGATTGTTATGAGAATGTCAGAAAAGTGTTGAAACGTTTACATGATTATGATGTAAAAATTAAAGTAAATAAGTGTAAATTTTTCGAAACTAAAGTAGAATTTTTAGGTCATATTATAGATGCCAAAGAAATACATCCTACTGAAGAAAAAATACTAGCAATTAACTCAGCTCCAACACCAAAGAATACAACTGAATTAAAGTCATATTTAGGTTTGCTAAACTACTATGGAAAGTTTATCCCGATGTTCTTCCAAATTAAAACCATTATACAAACAGATCATCAGCCATTACAGTTTATCTTTGGAAAAAATAAAGGAATTCCAATTTCAGCGGCTGCAAGAATTACAAGATGGGCTATCACTCTTTCAGGTTATCAGTACGATATTCAGTACAAAAAGGGGCAGCAATTAACAATGCTGATGGTTTATTACGTTTACCCTGTAGTGATAATACAAAAATGACAGACTATTTGTATTCTTTTAGTTTGGTAGATCAAATGCCTTTAAACGCGTGTCATATTGCAAATGAAACAAACAAAGATTTGTTGTTATTAAAAGTAAAAGATTTCATTTTATCAGGTTGGCCTAGGAAAGTGAGTAATGAATCTTTAAAACCATACTTTAAACGTAGAAATGAATTGTCAATTGAACAAAATTGTATCCTAGTGGGAAATAGAGTAGTTATTCCAAATACATAACACTTATGTTGGAATTTCTCTAAACTATATAATTTAATTTAATTTTTTCCCCAAAACAATATTATAAACTCTAATTACAGCTGACGATGAACAATGATTCCCATATATATTCGAAAAAATACCTATTTGGAAAATAAATATTAACCTGAAACCCATTTAACTTCTAATTAGTAATGCTCGGAAAAATTAGAAGACGCCACTAGCTACTGATAAAAAAGGTATTAAAAGAGGTAATTTTTATATGAGCCAATTGTTTTGGTTTTATAGTGAAGTAATCGTGAATGTTTCTATTATTTTTCTTTTTGTTTAATTTTGTAAGTATTTTTTTAAGATTCTTAAAGTATTTATTTAAAAAAGTATAATAAGGTTTATCGTATTTGACTTGATTACTTAATGACTTGTTGTCGTTAGTTGACACCTTAACATTTCATTAAGGAAATCATTTTCGTCTCAAGTTTGTTAGCTTCGATCTTTTTTGGCGTTAAACCGTCGGAATCGTATAACAGAATTTAGAAATAATATTAAGAATATAAATATTAAAAAATAGCTTCAGAACAATATTAAGAATTTAGAAAGTACTATGACAATGGAGTATTCTTAATTGAAAGATATGGATTATATTTTTGTTTTACTAGAAAACTGTATCAATATTTATGAATGGTTTGATATCTTGCTTTAATTTCTGGTAATTGGTCTAACGTCTACGTTTTAGTGATTAAAATATAGTTTTTCTTTTCTTTATCTCTGCTTTATCTTGTGTTGATGGTAAATATTTAAATATTTTAAAAGGTTCTTATTGGTGGACCTTCTCATATAATTTGTTAATGCCTATAAAGTCAATAAAGAATACATATTTAACGTCATCTCACCACGCTCATAGAAGAGACTCCATTGCACAGATTTAAGCTTCTTTTCTAATTTTTCTTTTAAAGAAGACATTTTAGAATATCTCAAATTTGCTACAATTACAAAATATGGATGTGTTTCAATCTAATTCAATGGAATTGTGATGGGTTTTACCCTAGACTTGAACACATTCAAAAGTTAATCCTTGATACTACTGCCGACATAGTATGTTTACAAGAAACGAATTTCAAATCTAACCACAAAAGACTTCTAAATAGTTTTGTAGGATATCATTTCTTGAAAACTGACTATCTTAGAGCTAGTGGTGGAACATCCATATCGTATCCAATGATCTCTACTCCACACACCCATTTGCACAAACCTAGAAGCTATCGCCGTTAACATTTGGTGTCCAAATAAAATTTCAGTTTGTAGTATTTATATTCCTCCAAATTATAGTTTATCCGAAGCCGATTTAGTGGACCTCATATACCAACTTTCTTCATTTTTCCTTCTTGTTGGAGATTTCAATGCCCACAATACATTGTGGAGTTTTGAAATATCCTGAGGCCGAGGAAAGACTGTCGAAAATGTATTGAATATTATCGATACTTGTATGATGAATAATCATTCCAAAACTCATTTTAATATTGCTACTGGTACATTCTCCTCAATAGATTTAAGTTTGTGCCACCCAAGAATATATCCTAACCTCACATGGAAACCAGTTGACTATCTTTATGACATTTTCCTATTTTATTATCTTAAAAACCTGCCAAACACTTTCGACTTCTTTAAAAAGTGAAACATTTCTAATGCCAGCTGGGATGGCTTTCGATTATATACTGAAAGCAAACTAAATCAGCTGTAGTTATCAGAAGATGCAAATGAAAATATTGGCGCTTTCAATAACTGTATAATCTCCGCTGCTGAAGCAAATATTGGACAAATAGCAATTTCTTTTTCTCGTAAAACAACACCTTGGTG